AAAATATTTGGTCAATCCTCCTTCAGTTCGAACACAAGTAGCAGCTCTAGTATACATATCTTTAATGACTTGAATATAAGTCATATCAACACCTTTATTTTCAAGAACTCTCCAAAGGATATCTCTTGGAACCTTATCGTAAGCTTTTTCTAAATCAATAAAAATCAAATGTAGATTCTCCTTATTGTCTCTGAATTTATCCATCAAACTTCTCAATAAATGTATAACTTCCATCGTAGACCTGCCCGACATAAATCCAAATTGATTATGAGAAATCTTTGTAATACATCTTAACCTATGTTCAATTACCCTCCCCATAATTTTAAAGTATGACACATCAACTTAACTCCTCTATAATTTGCACACTCTTGTGCATCCCCTTTATTCTTAAAAATGGGAACCAAAATACTTTTCCTCCGCTCCTCATGCATCTTTTTAGTTTTTAAAATAATATTAAAGAGTTTAGTAAGCCAAGAAACTCCCAAATCTCCTAAACATTTCCATAGTTCAATTGAGATATCATTACGTCCTACAGACTTGATACATATACAAATGAATAGCAAAATGTTACGAAGTTCAAGAGAGAAGAATGACATGAATGTAAAACATAAAACAAAATTTTACAATTACGCTCACTTTTTTCAATTCCCGCAGTCAAAAGTTACTCATCTGTTCATCCTTCATAATTTCAAAAGGAATCAAAGAGAAGGAAAAAAAAAAAAAACATTTTGAAAAAATTTATATTCCAGGAGTGATGCAGCCAAAGATTATCCCTTATTTGGAGATAAGCATGAATTATTTTTCATTACTATGTAAACGGTTTCATAATTTGCACATGCGTTGAAACAAAACTGGAAAATAAAGTGGTAATATAATGATACTACACCTTCACAGATGTATTTGAATGCAAGGGTGGCAGCGCCTGCAACATCATCTGAGGTGCTCATTCCTTTAGTAAGAATATCAACCAGTGGAGGTAGTATTGGTTGTTCAACTGGAGCAGAATTTATCCATTTTGAATAGGCTCCAATTGTAGCACAAACTGTTAAGCATCAAGCAACACGATTTAAAAAGAAAATAATTTATATTTTCAATGAAAGCATAACAAAAATTGAAAACGGGAGACCACTACTGCAGAAAAGAATTACCAGTCTGAAGTAGTTGAGGTTGGTGAGGGAGTTTTGCCAGTAACTCCATAATCTGAGATTTTGTAGAACAACTCAGCCAGCAGGTGCTTAAAAACAGTTCTTTATATATATATATATATAAACGAGAAATTTCATGTTGTTTATCATCAAATTTAGCATGCCTAGAGGATGCAACTGCTTATGTCGTTTCCAACTTTGATAAAACTAATTTAGTTTGAAAACAATATAAGGGGGAAAAGAAAGCCAAGAAATCAAACAATAAGCACAAACAAAGCATGCATAGTCCATCAAATCATAAATTAAAAGCCGGAACAATCAGAGACGTTGCAGGAAAGTATGCATTGAAAAAAAAAGTTTAACTCACATGAAAACTAAATATTTTTTAGATGAATCCCTCAATTCTGCAATGTTAGTTTATATTAAAAGACTAACGACATTTTTAGAATTTTTCAGAGTTTAATATTTGTTCCTAGGACTTTAGAAAATATTTTCAACCTTCAAATGAAATCAAGCACATGCTTTCAGTCCATTTTTAAGCCTGATTAAGTATCTTGAAAGGAAAATTTAAGTTAACCACTGTGAAAAATATATGATAATGACAAAAGCCAGTTGTAGTCTTGAAATTGTCATCAAAAGAATCAATGAATAAAGGCACTATTTTTCCATCTATGGCACGGGTTATAGGGCCTCTACTGCTTTAAGAATCTTGTTACAACAATATCATGACTACAGTTTCTATGCTATATCTTCTCAAATATAACTTTTTCTCTAATAAAACTCTTCAATACAATGTAACACAGAAGGTAACCACAAACAGCTTGCAAAGGGGGGCTAGATAATCGGGCAAGATCATGTCATGGTGTGTTGCACGCCCCTTGGGCTCTGTCATTAAAGCATTGCTAGGCTAGCATTTTGTCTCAATTAGAAAAATGAGTGCTAACACTTCAAAAAAGAAAGTTTAAACCTATTTCAGATGAAAAGTTGACATAGAAAGATGTTGAAGAGTTTTGAGGGTTGCAAACATAAGGACCTACACTAGACAAACTGACAAATCAAACGTTGGTGTAAACATTTTAAGTTTTAAAATAGTAAATTTTGATAAAAAAATAGTCTAATGAAACAATAAAAGATGGAATGTTATAAATATAGTGCTAGAGAAGTGAAGCTAATGATGATCAAAATGGAAAAATTCGTACTGGAAATTTAATTACTCCTAGGCTATGCATGCTACAAGCTTAGGTAGTTTAATTTTTAAAGTTATTTAAATATATCTTTTCGAACAATGTTTAAGTTTATCTATTTAGCCATTTATTCGAACTTGAAATGCAACAAAACATGAAAATGATGGATTTCACCCAACAAAGTTTGATGTAATAATTACCAAAATCAAAACAAGATTATTAGGGTAAACGTTCACTCAAAATAAAAAAATAGAACTATTAAGTTAAAATAAAATTAACTATTTATTTCTGTGTCTTACTTCACTCATGGAAATGCATAAGATTGCACTTTATTCCCTTTTGAAGGCACTTAGTGCTTTTCACAAAAAAAAAAAAAAAAAAAAAAAAAAGAAGTGACTTTTGCTCACAAGGTACAACCAACTACTCCAAAAGCTTGAACAAATGCAGGCGGTAGAACCAAGGCTCTCAACACGACTAGATCGGCAGTTGCATCATGATTTTCATTAGTTCTCTTATTATGTAATTTTTTCGTTGCTTTATCTTCTAAATCTTTGTTGCTTCATTATTTTTGTCAGTTCATGATTACCATGAACATTGTTAGTGTTCTCATGAGCAGTTCAAACAATTGGCAATTTGTACCCTGCATATAGATAGGGTAGTTAGAACTCTAAATGATGACACGTGAATTAAAGCTTTGCTACAGATTGGCCCTACTCTCTTTCATGAGAAGAGTCAGGTTTTCAATCTCTCAAATCTCTCCTCTTTTCTTGGGTTAATTCTCTTCTCCTATATCTCCTTTAAACAAAAGCAGCAGTCTAACATATCAAGCAGGATAAATACCTGTTAGAATGTGAGAAAAAAGGAAGAGTGCCGCTGGAGCTTACCACCCGCATCACTCCGCGTTACTGTAGCTGCTGCAGTAACCACGTCCCCCTTTTCCTATTTAATCCCTTTCATTTCCTGACACTTTTCCATTATAGTTCATTTCCTTCTCTACTTCTTTCCTATTCATCTCCGTGTCTACTATATCTTTTTCCTATCCTTACCTATTTTATCTACTAATCCCCTCTTTATGTAAGGTCCTATTTTTTGAGGTTAGGGAGAGTTTTTGATGAGTGTTGATTACAATTGCTGCCTTTGAGGCGTTATTCCCCTCCAGGGGTTGTACCCGATGACGAGAGGATGCTCCGATTGCAACTCGTCTGAGATGGTGACCGTCTCCAAGTTTGGGTGATGCTCCGACTGTAGCTCAACTCTAACGAGACATTTATCTTTCCTCAGCCCCTCCGGTCCCTTTCCAGCAGCCGCACATCACCCTTCGGTCTTCTTCCTGCTGCCCTCCAGGCACTCCCTCCTCATTCCAGCAGCAACCCCGCTGCCTCAGTCCCTCCTACACCTTTCTTGCTACAATTTGACGTCTCAAAGCAGGCCCCACCAACATCTTTCTCATTGTTGTTTGGTGCATTCCGCAGCTGTCCCTGCACCCTCCAGCAACCGTAACCACTCCCCTACAGTCGCCAGCCACCTTCCAGCCTTCTTCCAGCAACCACAACCCCTCTCCTACAACTGCCAGCTACTATCCAGGCCTCTTCCAACAAGCACAACCATCTCCCAATGGCCGCACTTCCCTCCTGCCAACTCCCCTCAACCGCTAACCCACCGTCCAACAGCCTCCGTCCGTAGATGTTTATGTTGCTTGTGATTATTTGTCGTTATTTCCTACTTTTTAAGTGTCATGTTTGTAATATGTTTGAAATTCAAAAATAATATTTGTGTTTCCGTTGTGATTAGATTTTCTCCGGTATCAAAGAGAGTTGGAGTATAGAAGAGAGAAAATAAAAGATTTGATGCCTAAGAGGTTTTTGGGGTATGGCTTCAGGCTTTAAATGGTTACATAATAATGATATTCAACCAAATTTACACATTGAAATCTAGAAACCATCAAACCTCCTATATATATATATATATATCACAAAATAAAATTATTATATAGATGCCCTTTGATAAATATAAGTAATATACCTGGGGTAATATTTCCACTTCCTGTGGTGGAACGGACTGCGATATAGCTTGAATGCAGTATAGTGCTGCCTCTACAGGTTGCCATTTGTAGTTTTCATCATTGTTGTAATTTCCAACTGCCTGTGATAAAGAACCAGTAGAATATATTCTGTTAAAGAAGAATGGGGCAGTGTCAATCACAACACGATCAAAATATAATAAGAGAATTTATTACCATTGCTTCTTATAAGTTACATTTCATTAGACTATCAATTCTTTGACTAGCAAAATTGTGATAAGCTGTGATTTTGTTAAGTGCAAATATAGCAATGAGGTTGTTCTGTGCAGTTTTGTAACAATTAATGTTCATACTTCCAAAGAGAAGAAGTCATTTGTCATGCGACTCACCTATGAATGTAAAAGATATGAAGGAAATGCATGTCAAATAACAAGACATAAAATAGCTGAAAACAATCCGAACAAAGTATGATACATCGTAATATGCATGAGAAAACAACTTAAGTGTATCATGGAATGCCATCATCTCCAAGGTACAAAAACATTGTAATATGCACTAACAATTTAAGTGTATCATGGAGACCGCAAAGAACTAAATAAGGCACAACAAAATATGATACATCACACTCTATGAGTAAACAAAAAGAAAGGTAAAATTTTAAACAGTAGTAAAGAGTGAACTATGCTCATTGTCAACATCTATGCCAGAGTGCAACTAACATTCAGAGTTTTTACAAGGTTATAGATATAAAAAAAGTAATTGTAAGTTATAATGGTGGGAAATGGCAATGAAACAGAAAAACAAACTTAAGCTAGTAAATAATGGAAACTATAACCAGAAAATAATTTAAGAAAAATGGCATTTACATACATACCACACAATCTTTATATATTTACATATCTAATGCCTAAAATTCCATATTTACATGCATAGCACTTAAATCATTCACATCACATTAAAAATACCGCTATACTAACCTTTTAAAAATGAAACATGTATTTGGACACGTTTAAAATACAAAAGTGTTGTGAGTGTAAATATCAAGCTTTAGGTAAATGCATAAGAATTTTGTGGTATGCATATAAATTTTCATTGAGATAAATGGTTTCCACACAAAAGAAAAAGGATAAGTCATTTAACGCACCTCAACTAGCTTCATAAAAAGAATTTTTAGTGTTGCTTCTCCTCCTAAAACTTCAGTAGCATCAATCAAAACATCTCCAACAGCTGGAAAAAAAGAGAACATAATAGTGCTAACAATTTCAACTACTTCTAAAACAGCTAAAGATTGAAAGAAAAACTCATTGTTTGTAATCACAAAATGCAAACAAACATGCATGTTTTAGCATGCCTTCATGCACATCTTTCAATTATAACTACTAGTTTGTTTAAGATTTTGTATTCTGAATTTTTTTCCAATTGGGCAAGAAGCTAAATTGCCATTTCAAGACCACAATTGTTACCCGAAAAGGCCAAAGAATATATGAACTTGGTCGAACAGCAACGGAATTCTCCACAGAAAAATGCAAGAGGCCAGGTTGGACATATATTCATGCATATGTGTGTGGGCTTCTAGATGGATTAAGGCTGGGAAAGATGAAAATCTTTTCCACTGTGATATCATCCTAATTACATTACAATAAATATGGAAGAATCTTTTGATAACTAATCAGTTATTATAAGACTTATTTTCTTATATTTTCCTTCCTAGGTTTAGTTCATAATTAAGTGGCCTAGGTTTTAGCAGGTGTTTGTCTATAAATATCCATGCCTTATGTTAGGAAGGACAGTTTTTGTGCGTTTATAGTTGGGTTATCCTAAAGTCGGGAAAAGATTTCATTATTTTGTGATGGATTTCCAAAATTAAGAGGAAGGTGCTGAAAAAAGGTGTTCATAATGGAGTCCAGGCCTCCACCAACATTGAGGCCAAGGGTCCCCATCGCCTTCTATGGCTATCAAAGGTTGGATGCCCATAGGCTTCGAAAGGGAGCGATGAAAACATTTTTTATAGAGACAACAATTCTTAAATAACATTATGCTTCTTCTTTGTTTATTTGTTGTTTTCCTTAATTTTACTTGCAGAATTAAATATGTAACAGTAGTTACAGTGATTGTTTTGAAAGAAACAAGAAGAAAAAAAGTTTTACATCAAGTTTCATATGTGAATTCCTAGAATTTTAATCAAGTCTTCTGTTTTCCAATCTTAATTCAAAATTGATTTATGGTTTTCTTTAGACAATTGATCAACTCTTTCTTCTATTTTTTTAAGAGACTAAGAAATCCAACCAGCATCACTTCTGGAACAAAGCCTTGTCGAAGAATTCCCAATCACAATCAAAGACAAAGGGAAGAGAGAGGAGGGCAAACTGGGTGTGAACCCCAATAGATTGTAGTGACTAAGAGCTCCTTTAAGCTAATGCAGCCAATAGGCGTGCAAAGTTAAAAACTTGAAGCCAACGCATCTAAGAATGGATATTTAAGTGACAAATCATTGCAAGCTTTCACCGCAACTGGAGTAAATTAGATTTTTGTTTGTTTCGTGGAGTCACTAGTTGTCCACAGTTTTAATCATTATTAAAATACTTTGGGATCAGTAATGCAACCTTTGTTAGAAGTGGAGGCCTATTTGTTGATGGTGCATAACAAACCATATCAGAAAGAATTTTATGGAACCATAACAAATGACACAAAGCACGCTATAAATAATCATGATAATGGAAAGAAGCAAATTAATGTTTAGGTTCAAGTGTTCAACACCTCAACCAATATATGAAATTGACAATAAGAATAAGAAAAAAATTAGCAAACTTTCTGGAAGTCATATCTCCAAGTCAATAGAAAAAATTAATAAGCACATATTTAACATAAAATAGCACTATTTATTCTTCTAATCATCTAATAATTCTAATTATTTAGCACTTCTAATCACTTAACACCACAAACTTATCAGAAATTTGAAACCGAAAAGTTCATGTATTACCTGATCCTAGTTTACAGAAAATAGTATAAAATTCCTCGGCCATTGTTTTAAAAATAAATTTTCATTGGTGGAATAACCTTAAGCAAATGAGGGCTGTAGAGGGTAATCATAAAAATTTCAAATGAAAAAAAAATGTAAAAAGAATTACAACAAAAAAGGTGCTTTCCATCTCCTTTTAGACAAGAGGCCTTTATCAAAAATGCTTCATAATTTCCAACAGGGTTTGTTCATAAAATATACAGCTAAGTTCGAACTATTGATGTTAAAATGAGATATAGTCCATCGCGCGAAAGATACCATTACTCTATTCATCAATAGCTTGCATTCCGTGACTACAAATATCATACAATTACAATAATATTAGACATTATCCGATATCAATAATTAGCTCATTAAGTAGAATGATAACAAGCCAATGCAAAAAAATTTTCTTTTAGATTTGACAGAATTTCTTAAAAGTTAATACAGCAATTTATGATGAGACACCAGGAATGCCTCCTATAAATAATCTTCTAAATCATTCATAAGTACTCAAAATCAATGAGACAAGCACTTCTAATTCTAAAAATGCACTAATAAAATACTTTGGATGCTCTAGTTTTGAACACATTGCATCAATTTGCAAAAAATCATTCCGCTGTCCTTAATTGAAGAGGTTTCGCCCAAGAAAGAGGATATGGTAGAGAATACTCCTAAAGTTGACATTTATTGTATGTGAAGGACTACTCGTCTTTCGCAAGTTTTAGTGTTATTGTAGATCAAGAGTTTAAATGGTTGACAAATCATCTTTTATATTAGCTATAAAGTACAAAGAAAAGTGTACAAAGTAATTATTGTGAGGAGAGTTGTGAAAATGTAAGCTCTGTTTAGTGCAATTTTTTATAGAAGGGAATTTATAATAAGAGGTTTAGTGCAAAATTGTTCCAATGAATGTATGACATTTACTATTGAGATTGCCAAGACAATATGATGAACACAGCAGCTATGACGGTCAAAAAATTACTTATTAGAGTATATGAAGGAGAAAAAGTGGTATTGATGCCTTTAAATGAAGAGTTTGAGAAGGTTGATGAATTTACTTCAACAGTCTCCAAATCAATGTTCTTTAAAGCTGTGCAGTCCTTCGCTTCCACTTATGCTCGCGTTTAAGTTGAAAGAAAATCAAGCATTAAGATGGGTAGCATAAAATATTTATCTATCATTATAACAATATCAAAATATTTTTCGTACAAATATAAGCATAAAAGGAGGGTTTGTCTTCACCATTACAATAATTAAACATAAATGGGGTGGTCAAAATAGAATTCTTGATGCCCTTAGTCAAATACATCCTTTCAACAGTACTCTCCAATCAAAACGAGCTAAGAGATGAGATAATAATAATAATAATAATAAATTATTCTAGCAAAAACCTTCAACATGTAATATTTTTACCATACTATAAGAAAATGTTTTAGTCATCAATGCCAACTCCTCTTCAACCAAAGAGAATGACATCATTACAATTGTAATTAATATAAAAAGAATTTTTCATAAATAATCAGTTATTAGAGGATCTCCTTTTTTTTCTAACTTCATATGGGGCAGTTTGGAAATTAAATGGACAAGGAGATAGTAAATGTCTGTCAAAAGGCAGCCAACTTTAGCTTATTAAAGGAAGTTTTTTGTGAGATTCATTTCACGCTATCGTTAGTTGGGTAAGGATATTCTATGTTAGGGTGGAATTTGCCAAATTATGAGGAAAGTAGTGAAGGAAGGTGTTCCTAGTGGAGTTTGGGACTCCAACACCATTGATGCCTTGGCTCCCACATCCTCCTTCATTGGTTGTCAAAGGTTTCCGAATGACCTTGCAGTTGTTAACGGGCTATAGCAAAATTGGAGAGGAAATCAAAGTTGGATTCCCATCCATAGTCTTTAAAAGGACGTGGTGATTACTTTTTCTGTTAAAAAAAAAATTCTAATACAATATCATATTTTTGTTTGTTTGTTAGCTGTTTTCCCTCTTTTTCTTTCAGGATTAAAGGTGAAACTGCAGGACAATGATTGTTTCATAAGAAACAAGAAGCCAAATTTATTTCATTAGCTCTTGAAAGTGAATTCATGTAGACATGCTTCCTTCCCCGTATACATTGCTTCTTCTTACAAGAAAGGCAGATGTGCAGCTGTAAGAGATGATACGAAGGCTAACAATGTCTGGGCATACGAGTTGGTCAACCTGACACGACCTGAAAAACAGAGTGAAGATTGGAAAGGTTGAATGCACAGGGAATTTTATGGAGATTAGTTTCAACAGTCTTTGAGTAGCAAGAATACCTCTTCTTGACTCCTACAACGCCTCTAATCTAGTTCTTTGTTTCCCAATCTTAATGATTCATTGTTTTGTTTAGACAACTGATCTACCCTTTCTTCATAGTTTTCTTGGGACAATTGATTTACTCTTCCCTATTACAACTTTTCTTTTAGGAAGCTAGATTTTCTAACCAACATTCCTTTCAGATTAAAAACTCTTTGAAGGAGTAATCACAAACAGGGATAAGGGGATGGGAAAGTTCACCTGGTCACAACCCAATTGGATTGTGAAAAAAAGCTGTTTTAAGCAAATGCAGCCATCCATCAGATGAAGTTGAAACACAAGAGTCCACACCCTGGAGTCTACACATCCAATAATGGAAGTCTACATGAGAAATTATTGCATATTGCTATTGTACCTTTTCTGTTTTTTCCCTAGTTGGGGTAATTTTGATTTGAGTTTGTTCTTTGGAGTCACTAGTTGTCATCAGTTTTATTCATCGTTAAATTATTTTAGGTTTAGTAGTGCCAACTTTGTCAGTAGTATGCTATACTTCTTGGTCACATCAAGTATTGTATATTTCACTAGCAAAGTGTTCTTGACATTTGTAACAGTATCACAAAGATTATAAACAAATGGAAGGTATTTTCAGTTGTCAGTATATCAATATGAAACAACAACAACAAGCCTTTATCCCAATAAGTGGGGTCGGCTACATGAATCCTTTTTCTCCATTGCGTCCTATTGAGTGTCATATTATTATTTAATTCTAATAAAATAAAATCATTTTATACAACATGTCCAAGTCTTTTTAGGTATACCTCTGTCTTTCTTAACATAAATCGAATGTAAAACATCGACTCTCTTAACCGAATCATCAGATGATTGACATTTAATTTGACCAAATAATCTAAGATAACTCTCTCTAATGTTGTTCGCCATTGGATCTACACCAACCCTATCACGAATATACTCATATCGCATTTTGTCTCTATGTGTCAAGCCACTCATCCACCTAAGCATTGCATCTCAACAACACTTAGTTTTGTTTTATGCTTCTCTTTTAAAGGCCAACATTTTGTGCCATGGAGCATTGCAGGTCTCACCACCATCTTGTCAAATTTTCTTTCAATCTAAGCGGTACTTTATTATCACACAATAGGGCTGATGCATTCCTCCGCTTCAACCAACCAACTTGAATTCTACTAATAACGTCCCCAGCTATATCATAATCACTTTGAACAATAGACCCAAGATATCTATAACGTTCACAACTTTTAATGATTTGATCACACATAGTTACAAATCTGCCGCTAGAACTATTGTTACTAAAATTACATTCCATGTATTCAGTTTTAGTCCCACTCAAACGAAGGCCTTTAGTCTCCAATGTAGACATCCATAATTCAAGTTTTTCCTGAACTCTTTCTCTAAGCTTATCCACAAGAAGAATATCATCAGCTAAAAGCATACATCAAGATACATCCTCCAATAAATGTCCAATAAGAGCATCCATACCTAAAGTAAAAAGATATGGGTTGAAAGCCAATCCATGATGTAATCCAAATTAAATATAAATACTTGATCAATCCTCCTTTTGTTCAAACACAAGTAACAGCTCTAGTATACATATCTTTAATGACTTAAAAATAAATCATATCAATACATCTCTTCTCTTAAACTCTCCAAAGGACTTCTCTTGGAACCTTATCGTAAGCTTTTTCTAAATCAATAAAAATTATATGTAGATCCTCCTTGTTCTCTATGTGCTTCTCCATCAAACCTCTCAAGCAATGTATATCAATAAGAAACAAGGGTTTCAAAAATTCTAAATGATCACAAAAAGCATTTCATGAGAGGTAATAATATTACATCTTCGTACATAAAGTAATGCTATGCAGTCTGAATCCAGTCCAACTCCTTTGCATCCAAAATCTACCATTAATATTTCTCCAAATTTTAATTTTGTCATTCTTTCAAAAAAAAAAAAAATAAAGAAAGAAAGAAACCATGATGTAGCTTTAAACAAGGACTCTGAAAGCTTTTTTTTCATTTTTTCCCAATAAAAAAAAAAATCTCTCTCATTATCGCACTACCATATCTGATGTGCTTGAAATCCTTCTGGTCCTCCTCAGATTGGTCATCATAGTCTTGAGGATATTCAACACGGGAATTAACCTGACAAAAATAATACGATATTGTGGTAAGCCGCAAAATATCACATTTTTATGATTGATTATGTAAATTACTAGATCCACAAAATTAAAAAGAAAATAAAATACTCACCAAGGTCACCAACATTTGAAATGGTAAATGAAAAATGTGTAGCCTCTTCTTCCTCTCATCGTCAATTAAAACATCAGATTCATATGATGAATATGACTCCCTGAGATGCATATAATTTAACATGAATTGTTTATGAGCACAAAGTAGTTAGCGGATGTGAGAGTGACCTTCGAGTTAACTGCAACTGCAAATGATGCCAAAAATTAAATGTCATCGAAGAAATGTCATATTCAGGATGCGAAGCAACTTCAAGCAAAGCATGCACAATTAGCATTGATTCCTCAGAACCTGAAAAAAACTAAAATTAGTTTTACAATTATCAACTAATAGCAGCAGAATGGTGCAGCCGATATAGATATTCTTTGACATGCAAAATATAATCAATATTTTATATCACATTTATACCACTCGCAATTAACTCAACATAGGAATCGCCCATATCTGCAAATAAGCGAGCAACTGCCTTGATATCCTCTTCATCCTGTTAAAATATAATTATTAAAATAATAGGAATTGATGAGTATGCCTGATGACTACATAAGGTGCTACAAGGTAAGCAACTGAAGAGCATTAGCTGAATGAAACAATAACTGTAGAAGAAAACAAACAACTGTAGAAGTGCACCCAAGAGAACACTTCTTCCTTAACATTCTGATATCATACAAGAAGCATCAATACTTCGATGAAAACAAGGGGTAATCGGATAGCTACTCTAACAGAACTTTTACAGTGCATGGGCACATTGGCCCATCCCACAAGAGGGAAAAATGAAAGGAGTACTATTACCAATACAGGCATTACTGGGCTCTTCAAGGGGTACCAAAATAGCAGCTCTAACAGAAGATTTTCAGATCAAATTAGCCCATCCCATATGAGGAAAAAAAGTACTATCACCAAGACCGGTATTGCTGTGCTCTTAAGGGGTAATCAGATAGCTGCTACAACAGAACTTTCTCAGGACACGACAGCCCATCCCACATGAGTTAAAAAAAAGTATTATTTGTGTGGGGGTGGATAAAATATTATTTATGTATGCCCTCAAGCGATATATAGAAAACATACTTTACACCCATATTATAGGTATGATTTTGAATCAATTATGACCTTGATATATTTATAATCAATTTGCATCAATACCTCAAGTCCCATGATTCAAAAGTTTGAGTAAATCACTTAAAAAATATCCAAATAAATTGCATTTTTTCATTCTTACCATGGCATTTTGACTGTAACCATCAATAGGCCTACACGTCACTTGAATATAAGAATAAACCATAACCAAAGCAACACAACCACATTTTACAAAATTTAAAGATACTAAGTTGAAATTTTTTAAATTTTTAATACAACTTTTACTAAGTACACATTAATGAAGAAAAAAAATTATCTCTTGGCACATGCAAATACTACTGCTTTTCATAAGTATTAGAGATACATAAACAAAAAAAGTAACACGCACCCTTATAGTAATAATTTTTTGTTCATTTGTAGTGGATAGCACACTATGACTATCGTTAGCAATTAACTCTAAAATAGGATGAATTATCTCAACAAAGTACCATACTAATTCAGGTCCTGAACCAGTGTTCCCATCAAATGTGGAAACCACTAGAAGCAAACGTTAGATGATGGATTATTCATTATAATCAACATATTGAAGGAAGTGCAAGTTGGTAATGCAATCAAGGCTGGTTAAATAACAACACTTGCAACAGTTCCCCATGTTTTCTAGAACTGTAGAGCTGCTGGTGTCCATGCCTCCTTCCAGAGAAATTTTGACATGAAAACACGCATTCAACTATTTCACTTGTAACATCTACAACTTTAAAATGGGTGTTGTGGTCACAACTTAAAAATTCAACCAAAATACAGTACAGGCAAAAGAATGAAGAAACCAGCAAAGGTAATAGCCAACAGAAATGTGATAAAATTATAAAAAAAATATGAAGATTGGGAAAACATAGGAAAGAAAATTGAAGTACAAAGCAATGAGTTGATGTGAGAAGAAAATCGCCAGACAGACCATAGCACAACAAGACCTAAAAAAAATAAATGAAAATAGATATTTAAACTTTGTTTGGTTTTATTATCATCAATTGTGTTATGTTGCATTGTGATATATATCATTGTGCTCTCAAAAGCAAATAAATGTTTAATTAAACCATGTTTTCAAACTATTACCTATTAAGGAAAACATAGCATAGAAAATTGAAGAGGAAAGCATTATGTTGATGTAAGAAGAAAGTGGTTATTCTGATCATATCACAATAAGCACAATAAGATCTCAAAATAAAAGAAATGAAAATGGATATTTGAATTGATTGGCATTACTATCCTTTGTTGAACTATGTTGTGCAGTTTATATAGCGTTGTGTCCCCAAGAGCAGATAAATATTTGTGAAATCATGTTTTCAAACTATTAACTAATGTTTTATAAAAGCTGATTTATAAAAAATTGTTGGGCGCTAATTTGTGGTGATCAACAAGCTGAAAATGGATACTATGGATAACATAATTACATTATTATAAATGCATTTTCATGGGAAGCTACCATAAGTGACATTCCAAAAAAGCTAATTTTTTTTTAACTTTCATGTAACCAAACTTTTCTACATATCAGCTACAAGTCTACAACAAATGCCTTAAAATTGATTTGCTTATTTAAGGAGTTCAAAAAAATAAAAGCAAAAAGCAGAAAGTTAGACCCGAATGGTCTGCACGTCAACTATAACTATGGTAGAGGTAAGACTTTAGACTAAACCACTTAAGGAGACCATCCTAGACAATCAAGAAATTAAAACAATTTGGTCATATGGATTAAAGAAAGCATTCACAAAAATAAACATCAAAACATAACAAAAAAGTTCTCAACCATCACACTTAAAGTAATCTGCCCAAGCTTTAATAGACATTGTAAAGATATTAACAGATACAGCCATTACATAGATTATAACAGTCACTACGTAGATTTTAACAGTCATGAGCTAAAATTTCCATTACTTGAAGACGTTTCTTTAAATATTATTTAAAAAATACCAAAATAACTCATGTGATGACATTGAATTAATTGTTTTGTTGTTACAAATGGTTATTAAAGTGTAAATAATTATTACCTTCGAAGAATCCATGAGCTGACCCTTAAGTCCCATAACGTGAGGAACAAGTACATGAATTAAGGGCATGTGGGCAGAAGCACCAATGGAACCATTTTTCGTAGTGTAGTGTATTAATTCTGACACAACTGCCACAGGAAGAAAACAAGACATAAGAGACTGCCAAATATCTTTAGATGAATTATATATTATACTTTAGAATTAATAAGAAAGTAAAATAATAGCCATACCTGCAAGCAATGAGAAACCCTGCAACCCAACATTATAATCTAGTGCACAGAAGTGAATAGAACAACACAGCAAAAGCAAACAAACTACAGTCGCCTTTTTTATTTTTTAAGGTCGCCTTAATTTATAAATATGACACAAAAATAATAGCCACATAAAGTTTGGAAGAAGACTTTTTCTTTTCCCCACTGTTTATTCAAGTCGCCATATAAGATAAATCAGTTCAGTTTCTAATACCAAAAGGAAGAATTCTACAAGGTAATGAGGCCGAAATGTGAACCTGTTCCTCAATGTGACACAAACCCATACACAACCAAAGATTCCCATATATTTTCAAATACAAGGAAGCCTTTCACTGATGTTTTGAGTAATATATCAGATTGGAGGAAAGAGTAAAAGCGTAGAGTCAAATTGGCATGACCCAAATATCTCCATGACTTGGCTGATGGAATATAAGGTGTTTTGAGTAAAAGAAGAGTGAAGCAAATATATGCGTACACGAAACAAATCTCGAGAGTCTAAATTCAGAGTTGTATGTGTTCAGAAAAAAAAAGTAAAAAAAAGTGATGGGAAGAAATGTTTGTGAAATTGACCAACAAGGCATGACTGAAAATCAATCATAAGAATGTCAGTAGTCCTCTATGACTACCTGCAGTACTCCATAATTTCCATTTTTCGGAGCAATGGGGCACCAATCAGTCGGTCCGAGTGTTGCATGCCCCCACCCCACCCCTCCTCCCTCCTCCCTCCTCCGGGATGGCTCAAAATTAACGTGGATGGTGCTCTCCACTCATGCTATGCCGGTGGCATTAGCATTCTCATTAGAAAAGAGAAAGGTGATTTCATTTTTGGCTACTGGCCATCCAATTGAACATTATCAGTTCGCTTAAAAAAGCGCTCATGTCGAACTCCAGCCAATTTTAGCTATCAAGCACCATTTGGAGCCTTGGATGTACGAAGTTAGGGGCATTATTATTGAAAGTGACAATATGAACATCATCAGTTCGCTTCAACATGCTATGGCAACCGGCACTCGGTGGATACATTCACTTGATATTGAAGACCTCTCTTTTTTGAACTCTTTTCAACAGGTTCTTTTCCAACACATAGATAGAAGGAAAAATATAGTTGCTCATACTTATGCTCAAAATGCTATACATGGCAACTTTCTTTAGAAATGTTGATAATTCACATTTTCATTTTTCTTCCCTTGATTTTGACCGAGTCCAAATTTTGTAAGGGCTTCGTTGCCCCTTTTTTGTAACTTTTTTTTTGATATAGTAATGAAATATGCACATTTCAAGGAAAGGGGCTAGTGAAATTGGGCAGCAAGACAATGATTGGGACACCTGTAATGGCCTTCATATAATTAGTTCCAAACATGGAATATCTTCCTTGCAGTGCATGATAAGGGTGCAAATAGTAACACTGAAACCAAAGGCGGGCATCATATACTCAATAACCCCTTTTCATTGTCTAAAGAAAAAAAAAATGAAATTAATGGATTTGACCTGGAGTACAAAATATATAATCATCAGGACACTAACTAGTTCCATAGCATTTTCTTTATATAGTAGTCAGAGTGTGCATAACTGCACGTGAAAAATATTATATTTCAACAAGTAACAGATATTTGTTTCAAAAAAATATTAACATTTAAATGCGGGGTAATTTATTATTTAAGATTAATAGTTAAACTATTACATGAAAGAAAAGCAAATAATTACCAAGGGAGAAATGGTAGATTTTAATGGCTTTTAATTTACTGGAAATATTGAAAAAAAAAAGCCAGAAAAAAAAACATAAATGATTGATAGTTTATTTTAATGGTTTTAGTTTTCAAATATAGCATACGAATTAAAAATGAACTCCTGGCTATTGATCCCATGAACTTAAGATAAAAAGCATTTTAATGATCACAAATGAAATTTGATAAAAACTGACGTTATTAATTATAATTAATGTAGGCGTGAGCTAAATTACTTCTGATTAAGCTCAAATTTACAAATCATAATAAAATACAAGCTTAAATACATTTATGAGTCAAGTGAAACTGATAATGCAATTAGCTCGAGTTAGCTCAACAACCATCACGTCAAGCTACAAAGTACAAAAATGCTTTAATTATTTTTTGAGTTGTAAACTAATGTAATTTAAGCCGTAAGAAATGTTAAGAAGGCGCACGCACACAATTAATTTAAATTAAAAAAATATTAAATCAAGTACTAAGCAAAATTGGAAAAATCAAAACAAATCTTATTCTCCAATCAAGAACTACATTACACAATTAAATTCTATTTTAATTCAAAAAAACCGAGTAGCTTGATTAGTTAAGTTATTATTTAATTGGTGAAAATTAATCTTCCGATCATAACATGTGGTGTGCTAATTTTCAAATAAATTAATAAGGTTATTTTGCATTAATTATGATATTCGAATCTTAAATTAATCAACTTATATGATGCATATTGTAGTGTATGATCAGTTTAATAAAATTATTTAAAAATCACCTGTTCATAAACAGCCAAAATTTTGATAATAAATTAAAATGATCATCCTATACAATCAACCAATAATTTAAATTACAATTTTCAATCATTATTAACTAAGGATTTGATTAATTGAAGGGTGTTGATTATTGTTGATAAAATCTAATAAATATAAGCATAATTCTACACTTGTAAAACCTAAAATGAAAATTAAATTATCTCATACGCCAGACCATCTTTTTCATTCAAATCTTATAATTATCAACCTAAAAAATTTGGTTATGAGAACTTCGTTTTTAATTCTAAAAAGAACAATATTGAATCTCATTAACTGGTGGGATAGTCGGAGTGGTCAGTTTCACGCCTTAAAGTGAACATTAATTATCTAACAAGATAGGCTAGGAGTTGCATGCATCTCACTATGAATATAAGTGTTGTTGGTTTCTCTATTATCCATCAAGGAGGGAGGATTCTATGTCTTGTGTTAGTTAAAGAGAGAATAGCAAATAATCCAGAGGGAGGCTCAAAATAGATTAAGCCAGCTGGTGTCCAAACCACAACACATCAGTTCATATTTCTTGCTCCATTACCACATTTTTAGTAGTTTTAGTTCTTTTATTTATTGCAATGCAGACATAAATTATGTATACTCTGCATATTTTAATGCATATGGTGATGAATTCAAGGAAACTATATAGAAAAATAAAAAATTTAATATCTTCAAAAAAAATTATTATATTGCTTGAAAGCAGAAAAAAGAAAGAGAATAACTTAAATCTATTTGATGCACAAGATATTATGATTTGAAGAAAATTATTATTCTTTTTTTAACCATGCACCAAAATAAAATATATTTTAAAGCTTCCTATCTTTTTAATATTTTAAAATACCCAATTTACAATATCTGGTTAAGCTACGACACAGACCGACTTTATATTTTTAAAATTTAATAATGAGTATAGATTTTAAAAGCAACGAAAAATACTAAATGAAATTGAAAGAAAACAAAAGCTAATATTTATATTTCTTACTTTAATCCTAAAAAAATAAAATTTAAGTTAAAATATAATTACAAATTAGACAATTCATAGTACATGATATAAGTCTAACTAATCTAAATCATTAAAATAAAGTAAATATCATCATTTTAAGTTATTTTATTTGATAATCAAAAATAATTTTAAATTGGATATTTAAACAATCTTGTAAATGGTAAAAATCCAAAGTCTAAACATGCAAAATATGAGATGATGAAATTATAAAAACTTAAAGGCATTTAATTATGTGAGAAGAAAATACTTTATTTTAATTAGTTTACGACAAAAGATGACAATTTAAAATGTGTGGGTGGATGAATAGGTATGTGTGTGCGTACACAAGATGATCTCTACATCTGCGCCAAAACTAAAAAAAGAACAAATGCGACAAAAATAGAAGACAAAGAACACATCACGTGAGGCTCGAAATGCTTCGACTATAACATTCACATAATCATAGATTGCTAGGCAAAAAAGACCACGCTAATAGGTCTAACATATTGAGGTTAACAAGATGTAACCCACACAACCAATTTGATTGAGATGAAAATGACAAGTCACAAATTCGGCATCACACTAATCAAGTTCAAAATACCATGATCGCAATTGAAATTATACAAACTTTATTTATTCATAAAACTGACTACATTGCTACATTTGGAATGTCGATAATACTTAGTAGAGACTCTGAACATGGTCCCACACAAGCAGAGCTCGAAATGACTCGATCAGAGCCAAAATTGTTCAACCATCATCTATTCATACATCAAATTGTGTTAATTGGTCCAAAATGAAAATTACTTGACGACATGAAGTTCAACGTGATGATGCAAATCTAAAATATGAGAGCCATGAGGATACATGAAAAAAAAAATTGACACAAATAATTCATTTTTAATTGTCAAATTAATATAATAATGATCATGATATTATATATTTATTTTAAAGAAACTAAAAACCAATTTAAACAAAAATTTCATACTTATCTTTGTATTCTCGGTAAAGTCAATCCCAAATCTTACTAATATCCCTAGTATTTGGCACCAATCCTGTCTACACTTTATGTGCTTCCGGCTCCTACTTGCATGACCCTCCTCCTTCCACACACAACAAGCCATAAACATTCGTCTTTCGCTAAGGGTACTCTTTCTTCCCACTCATGCATTCTCTCTTAGCAATTGCTCCCCACCATTCTCCTTCAAGGTCCCATAAGCAGGCCGCTTGCCCACGTGTTGCCTACTCCCGCCATCTCCCTCTCTCACAATTTGTAAATAACACATGTGATGGAGCAGTATGCCCCATGCGAGTTTTGCTTAGCATGGCAAGAAAAATATACATTACAAATATTTCATGCAAATACCCCATATATGCCTTTTATAGGCCTAGTGAATTTAAAAGACTATGATCACAATGCCTTACACTACCGACCAAGAGCATATTTCTTAAAGTGATGGGCAGGCCAAGCACTCTCATATGCACTTCTTTATCAAGAGGGAAAATATATATGTTAAAAAATTTTTGCAGATAACCCATGTGCACCTTTCTTAGAGTGGCGAGTTTTGAAGCCAATGATCGCAGTGACAATGAGTTGTTTATTTATTTTATGTGATGCGCAAACCTAGCACATTAGGACCCCCCCCCCACAACACATTTGAAGGATGTCAAATTGCATCAAAATGCTACTTGAAAAGAACAAAAGCATGCCTTATTAAGATGAACGCAAAATAAAAGGAATCTAATAAATGTAATTTACACAAAATTGAACAAAAATTAAATAATGGACAAGATTAGATCTTTTTAGGTCTCATAAGCAACATGTGGACCCTAAACATTTACCAATAACTAGGTAAACAAACAAAAGTCAAATTAACCGAATATACGTCTGATATGCTAAACATTATCAAAGAAGTAAACATTTTGACAATGTAAGCACTCCTCCAATCGTGGATTGTAAGAACTTTCCAACATATGAAGGGCATAAGTTAGAAATTATTTTGTATTGTATGGTAGAATATGATCACAGCTCATTTACCATAAGCACAAAGTTATTTTTCAACATGACCCAAAAAAAATGCTTGTATGTAAAAAATATCATTTTCCAGCCTAAAATAAGAGCTCAAGATTCATTTATCATTTTTGAAATAGCTAAACTAGATCTGAAAAGTTTCTGGATAGGACAATGAACTCAAAATTTCTGGTTAACTGCTACCTGTGTCCTTCACATCTTTCTTCACTAAATAAGAAAGGTACAAGTCCTTTCCAAATTAGAAAATAAAAACAAACATCTACTATAACAGTTAAAAGCATGAAAAACTATTCCCAAAGAGGTGTCCTCTAATATCCATTATGTTTAGTTAGCACAGAATATAAACTTTTTATACACTTAAGTTGCTAGAGAATAAAATCTACAACTTAAAGTCTGGAACTGTCCACCTAATCAACATAACATAATATAGGCAGACAATAGTAACATCGATAAAGACACGAATGACAAAAAATTTTGCTTGAGGTTTTATATAATGATTAGGCTTAAAAAAAAAAAAGTCTTCATATTGCACGGATAGAATCATATCATATTTTATTGTATTAGCATCAACAAATATCTAATTGAAGTAACCAATCAAAATATTTGCAATCCTACCAAAAAAAAAAAAGGATTTTTTGGGATAACTGAGCATGTATCTTATGCATGCATACCGACCACCGATAAACTCACAAAAAATAAGAAAAATATCAGTGCTCGTGAAACTGTCAACCAATGACATATTTGCAAGAAAAACAAGTTGAGAAGTATACGCAAAATCAATCAATTCAACAATACATGCCATCAGATAAAACTTATAAGCATATTGTACAAGTTTCTTGAAGGTTGAGTTGAAGTACCATTCACAGCAGCTTCAAGATGTTGCTCAGAGTTTAAACATGATAGAGCAGCTTGTACTAAAGGATGTAAAGCAAGTGTCGAAGCAGAAACCCTGAAAGAGAAACTTGTTTAACTTCTAAGAAGCAATCAAAAGTTATATCTAGTGGTTAGAATCTGAGCAAAATAAAGTGCTTGCGAGCAACTCAATTATAGGTAAGGTTACTGCATTTAGTTTTTATGATTTGGTTAACATGCACAGCAATACAGCACTCAATGAGCAAGCTCAAACATTAAATGGTGCTTGTGTCTAAGAACAAGCCCATTTGTTTAGTTAATCTCTAATAAAAAGATTGATAATGCCAATAATCACTTTAGTAGCTTAATGTTGGTAATTTGATAATTGCTCACGCAAAGAAAATAGAAGAGGGACGATTAGTGTTTTTTCAATAAAAGACATTTCAAACATTGAAACCAATAAAACCAAAAGATAAACCAAATCATTATCTACAAAAAGTATGGGTACAGAATAGATGACAAAGGCTCTTTGTCATTTCACCATGTCAAACATACCTCATCATACTGTAACGAAGATTAATTAATGTTTGAATAGGGAAAAAACTCAATAAAAAAAAAAGTAAATTACAAGTAACCCTCCGGTTTACCCGAAATTTAAGGGCAAAGGTTTAGAAAACACTCCCACATCTTGTATCATGTATTTCAGCAATTCCTGAGCTTCATAAAGTTGCTTCCCCGCTATCATCCTTAGGTACTCTGCACATCCTCAAACATTGCCCCATCTCCCCAGCTATCCTCATGAACGGTAATGCACAATCAAAAAAGAGTAAATTACAAGTAACTCTCCGGTTTACCCAAAATTTAAGGGCAAAGGTTTAGAAAACACTCCCACATTTTGTATCATGTATTTCAGCAATTCTCTGAGCTTCATGAAGTTGCTTCCCCGCTATCATCCTTAGGTACTCTGCACAGCCTCAAACATTGCCCCATCTCCCCAGCTATCCTCATGAACGGTAATGCACAATCATCATGGATTGCAATCCATAAGAAAAGGTCAAACACAGGATGCTAGAAATAAGACTGCTAGGCAGGGGACTTGATGATGCCAGGGAAAGAACAGTAATATCAGCCTTCCCAAACCAACACCATCGATGCAAAATGTGCATTGGTTGTCAGCCAGAAGACAGGGAATGGGAAAAAAGATGCTGAGAGTAGCAGGACGGTGAACAAGAAGAATAAAAAGAGAAAAGTTCATTATAGTTTTTTATATGTAGAAGACTCGTATGACAGAATAAACCCATCTCGAACATACATAAAAATAAGTATTGGCAAAAATGAGCCATTCAAATCTTTGGAAAAATGTAAGACTCATGGTAAATCTTGAGGCCAACATTTAATTTACCACCAAAAAAAAAAAAAACACTAGAAAAATATTTAGGTTATAGCAAAATCCGCAATGAAACACAAAAACTAGTAGATTGCAGGTTTGGTTCAATAGAAGAGGACAAGATTGAAAAAAAATGACAGGTTAAAGTCAAGTTAATAACTTACAGAAAGGAAATGGAGATTCAATAGTTATCCACTCCTCTATAAGAATGAGCACATTATAATTTTTTGAGGAATGTCTTAAAAGAGAATTGGATTTTATTAGACAATGTGGTTGGGTGGATTCATGGAAATAATTCATTTCTAAAAGCCTTTAAACCTTGGAAACTAAATTTGCATGAAAGAAAACAAAAGGTTGAGCAAGACAGTCTGATAAGATGCCATCTGTAAGCATCCAGTAATATCCAAAATTTTTGCCCTTCCAAAACAAGACTTCCTCTCATCAAATACAAAGCATGGTATTACAATTGCCCAATATCCCCGCCCATTCCCAAAACCAAAGCTTTGTGAAGTCCTAAGAACATTTATGGAAGTTGGTGACTGCCCAACCCCAGAAGGTCAATCAAGAACATTTATGGAAGTAAGTGAAGCCAATATAACAGAAATGTATGGAATATAAAATATATATAGATGCTAATTGACAAAATTGTCAAAAAAGGGGCTAAATTGGGTTCTATGGAAGAATAAATTAAATGTAAAATTTAATTTTTCGGTACGTTGATCCAAAAAAATAAAAAATGGTAGCTTTAAGATAGATGAAAAGTTTTAAGAAAATCATCTAAAAGTGATCACTTTGATCTTAAGACAGCAGACAGTAAATCATAAAGAATAAAGAAAAAATTTTTATCTATGCCACACAAATCTTAACAGGCTATTTTCAATGGTACATATTAAGAAAAAGAAATAAAGTGCTACCATGCATGCTTTTATTTATAATGAAAATAAAATTGAAGGCTAAAAACTAGCAAACAATGTAGCTGTATAATACAAAAAAGTCACAAGCATAGTACAGAAGGGTAAACAATACAACCACAACTTTCCTAAAGAGATCTAGATGTTCTCACTACTGAAGTTAAAAGAAAAAAAAAGGCATCCTCTCCAGTTGTTTGTTAAGGATTAAATCCCAAATTGTAGCCTAGAAGTTGTTCGAATGTAAAAGAAACCAATAAGAAACTAACAAGACAAGAAAAAAAAAGGTATTGATACATGATACACCATTTTACTGGAGCTACACAAGGCGCATACAAAAGTGAATGAAGAATATCAGATAAACTTACATTTGGATATCAAAAAGAAATATTGGTAAGAATCAAACTAGAAAGTAGCAGCTATGCTGTGTGGATAAGTTGATAACTAATAAGACAGGAAAGTATGATCAGCAAGAAAGGTCGGATGCATACCAAAGATAAGGTTATACGATAATAGATTGAAATAGTCTATTAGGCATAATAAGGAACGAATAAAAGTCAGCTCAGGGAAGAGGATTGATTTTGAACTGTCTATGAAAGTAACTGGTAAGAAAAAATAACTACGATTAAATCCAACCAAGAAGACTTGGCTAACTTATAATGCTGTCAAATGCAGTTAAAATTTGTATGCATCAAAGAATTCATAAAGCCATCAAACTAAATGCTTGAGATAGGATTGATGATGATTTGTGCAAAGACAGCAGTCACCATAATTATCCTAAAATTATATCTCAACAGCAGCAGGCCAGCTTAATCCTTCAATAAGCACCCAATGCATGCGCTAGTTAGGTAACTTAAGCTTCCAATGGTTAAGAAAAAGAAGTAAACAGAAATTAAGATACATTGGACTTTTCAGTGGAGACACAACATATTTTTAGATGCACAAAGAACATACCCACTACATAATCGAAGCCATGATGCAAAAGCCTCCAGTACCTGCATGCAGAGACCGTGTGATTAACAATTCAAACTAAGAAATTAGAATAATTTCAATTCCTTGCATGAACTCGTAATCCTTGATGGTGTGCAAATTGAATTAATTAAAAACCAAAGAGATACAAAAGATGTACAAAATCATGCCTCTTGGGCCATGACAGCAAAATAGGATATCAAACTAAAAACAGCAAAAAAAATAGATATAATTATGCCTCATTAGGTAAATCTTTTTAAATACTTTGCATTTCAAAAACGTAAAATGGCACACTTTTGATGTATAAGGAATTTGTAAAGGAAAGCTTAGTATTGCACTTTACATTTTCATGAATTAATGTCATGTGAAGCAAACATGAGTTAACATATTCATATATATGAAAATAGTAACCAACAGGATGCTCCTTCAAAATTCCATCCCCCCAGGTATGGACTTGGTGCATTTCCCACAGTTTTGAGGCATGAGGGGCTTTTAGAAACCATATAAAACAGATATTACTAAAAAGAAGCCTAATCAGTACGTACATCAATTATATTGTGGCATATGTTACAGCACAAACTGCAAGTTCTATAAAATTATTAGGTTTGGAAATCAAATTTCATTCTAAATTACAGTCCTTTGGGCTAACCCTTCATTCTCAGAGCATGTTAGATTTCTTTTTCTTTTAAAGAAAGATAAATTATAGCTCGGGTGCAAATGTACACCAAATATTTCATTCTCTCAACTCAATCCAACCCGGATCAAGATTCCAGGTCCAGTACGTACTCACCAAATTTTGACACAAACTCGTTAGGTTCACCATAAACATGCCAGGTCTAACGAGCACTTGTCAGATCCAATATGTATTCATTAGATTAAACATTAACCCGTTAACCACAGTAAGCTCATCTCTACTCCATGCAAAAGTCGAAAATGCATGCTCATTCAGATCCATCTACATAACTACTTGTTAAAACTTGTTCAACACATGTAAAGAAGACCAACGACTTAATGGGTGTTTTTTCTTCATTTGAAAAGTTTGAATATGATTTTGTGTAGTCGTTATACAAAAATGAGGTCAATTTTTTATTATAAAAAAATGAGATCAATTTTTTACCACAGTTTTTTTATGTGATGGACCATTTTGAATCAATTTTGTGTAGAAGAGAGACAAAACTAAACATATATGATACTTTAACTGAATTGGCCACATTGGAATAATCACTGGAGTATTTGGGGATTAAATGGAATGACAAATTGAAGATGAGCAAGCTGCATTACTGAAGATCATGGTGGACTCTTGATTTAATTTGTAGAAGAAAGTAAATTATTGTGTTGGGGAAGAATCAAGAAGCCAAGGAAAGTATGTGAGCCTCATTGTTGAAAATAGAAAGAAGAGCCTCATTGTCAAAAGAATTAAGTATATGTTCGAAAGTAATATTTTAAAAAACATGAAATCAAGTTGAAAATTTTACGAGTTAGCAATAGTTTCTGGACATAAATTTCAAGTTTTTGGAACTTTAATTTAAATTTTTTTTAAAGATCAGCATATATATAAAAATAAAAGATGAAAACATTTGAAAAAATGAAACAATAAGAACATAGGGAAAGCAAAGCTAAATATAAGAAACAAAAAGAGAAAATTATCATCTGCATAATAATAGCAATATAAATCATTTGATGTGTAAATCATTAAAATATCAAACGAACTACCAAAATAATACTAATACCTGAAACATTTTTTAATAAAGAAAAACAAAATGTAGCAATACCAAAAATAAATATAACAAAGGCAACAACAGCCTAACAACCTTTCTTAAAATTAAAAACCATATACATGTGGCCTTCTACTGCTGTCATATAAAGCCTACACATAGAAGTAAAGCGCACAAACGCATATGCTTTTAGGACTTGTTTGACTGAGGCAAATGCCCGGTGAAGAAAGACTTCAATATAAATTTTTAAAAGTGTTATTTTTACATAGTCAAATGAGATGAGTCCAGTTACATTTTGAAAAACAATGAAAACAATAGAATGTAGAAGGAAAGTCATTGCATTATTCCAAAAACAGTGATGCTCTATCATAACTTGAGAGAATGAAGAAAAGTATGCACTCCACTCCTGAACCTTTTCTCCATTCAGTTTCTGGAGATTGCTCCTTTCTCAGGTAGATCAAAATGCAGGTAAACTCTATCATAGATTCATCTCTCAATCTAGAGATCAGGAAGGAAGGAACTTAGTTCCTTTGTGTTTCAACTGTTTGGAGATAGTAAATGTTGCTATGAAATATAGAAGCAAAATGATTTCTTACAATCAGATAAAAATTGTTCATAGGAACAATTCTTTCCCGTTATCAAAAAAGTGCTAGATATTCTCCACATGCTTTTCTTGCATTATGTAAGTTCATAGGAACAATTCTTGTAGGGCCTTGGAAAGTTATCATCCAGGGAGGAAATAAGATTATTTTAACAAGAATACATATATATTTAAAGATTACTGGTAGAATGTAAGCATTGTGTGTCACAGTACCAAGCAGTAATTAAAAAAAAAAAAACAAACAAACAAGCAGCAAAATATGATCAAACTTCACCCAATACAACAACAAGAAGACTTCACCCAATACAAATAAAGAAAAAATGATATTAAAAAAAAAAGTATTCATTAGTAAACCAAAAAAGCAATAAAAAAGGGCCGGACTACTCCCACTACTCAAAAAAGATGCCTATCAAAAAGATAAAATCCGTCATGACTAACAGGGTACATTTTATGGTCGGGCTATTTAGCAAAGATATGCAGCAGTAAAATATAGAAAAAGTGGACTATAAGAAGGATTAAAAATTAAACTTATTAGAATCATCTAAAGCCTGTAAAGGTACAGTTTGTAAGAAAATATTTAACATGATAAAGAACACCTTCATTTCCAATTTAGATATACACTACAAGTTTAAAGTGGAAAAAAAGAGTAAATCATAAGTGATTCTCACATGCTCCTCCTAGCATCTAACAAGCTAAAAGTCTTAAATAGAAGGCATTGACAATAATCTGAAAAGAGACATAGAATACAGATATTTCTTTGAAAATAAGCTAGACCATTTTCCATCCCACACCACGTATCAAGCAGCACCAATTACACCAATTCATGAGCCCATCAGCAGAATAAAAAATAACATGAGGCATAGAAGCCCACAATTCAGAACAAAACGCATAAGAAGCCTCGTCTTTGATCAACTAAGTTAGAAATTAGATGAGAAATTGGCTGAAAATTTTTTTAACAAAAAATGGAGAGGGCAAGCAGAGAATATCAGCTACAGATAAAAAGATTTAAAACTTTCCTAGAATAGCAAAGAATAAAATATACCCAAAAAACAAAATAAATAATTCAGGCTGTAGAAGAAGAATGAAAATGTTACCTACCGGGTATTTCAGTTCACAAAAATTTAAACAAGCCGTCAAAAGACTGAATGCAGTTTTAACTGATGAAGCAAGTTCTTTCTCGAAATGGCGGCGTCTTTCAGGTCGTGCTGCTATTCGATAATTGTATGCTTCCTGTTCATGAGAAAAGAAAGGATAACATAAAATATAATAAGAACGATACAAAATTTATCTCCATAAGAAATAACTGAATTTAATAAAAATGCTAAAGAGAGATTTTTTACATCAAGCATTGATTGTCACTTCATTCTTTGCATGTTATAATTTGCAAATAAATAAATAAATAAATAAATAACCACCATTGCCAAAATAACATCTAAATTGAAAAACTTTGTATTCTCGATAATAAAAACAGCATCAACACCATTATTATCACCCAAACTGATTTGGGCAAGTTTTATGAATCATTATTTTCCATTCACTTCTTGTTTGCTGCAATAAATAAGCACAAAATGTTAAAAAAAATGGAAATACATCATATGGCAAGCGCTGGAAGATTAAAAATCCAAAATTTGAAAAACAGATAAGATGCATGTGCACACTCACCGGACATTAGCATAACAAATGCTGAATTCATGTAAGCCTGCATTGATTTTCTTATATATTTGATACTGATTGTTTGAGCTTTTTGCATTTCATTTGTTTTTGTTTTGGTGGGTTTGAGGGGTTGATGATGAGATGTTTGGCCATATAGGTTCTTCAGATGGTCTGTTGGTCGTTGTTGGTTGATGTCACATGTGAAATCCTAATAAAAGCAACCAAGTTCCTCTCTTCTTATCACATGTGAAATCCTAATAAAAGCAACCAAATTCCTCTCTTCTTTTCGTTGCAATACGGTTTTGGAGATTCTTCTGGAAGGTCTTTTTAAGTGATATACATGTGTGACTGGCACGAGCTTTGTACTACATGAGTTAAAGGCAATCAAGAACCATTTTTCTACAAGTTTTGTTGTCTTCTTATAGTGACAGATACGTAGTGACAAATTGGTTGGGCGATTTACCGAGTTTTTTGAGACGTCTCGTCAACACAAAACTATAATTTCTTACTTCATTTTTCAATTTATACTTGATTATTTTGTACAGTTTCCTTTTATTTTCATTCCCAATATATTTGGGATTGATTGTTTGGGTTTTTTACGCTATTCGTAGGTTTTTTTTCCATTTGTATTTCATTTTTTTCTTTTGGATGGTTTGAGAGGTCCATGATGAGACTTCTGACCTTATGGTTCTTTTGGATGCCATGTTAGCCGTTGTTGGTTGGCGTTACATGTGAGATCCGAATGAAAAAAATAAAATTCCTATATTATTTTCAGTGATATGGTTTGTAAGGATCTTCTGAATGATATTTTTTTGTGATACGCATATGTGACACATTCGAGCTTGGTTTTGTGGGTTAAAGGCAACGAACAACTCTTTTTTTATGAGGTCTGTTGTCTTCTTGTAGTGATAGATTCGTTGTTTGGTTGGTATGACTAACCAAACAACGACGATTGCTCTTCTTCGTCTGTTGTCTTCTTGTAGTGATAGATTCAGAGAAGTCTGAATGCTACGACGAACAACTCTTCTTCGTAGCATTCAGAAAAGATGAGCTCCAAGATTTCAGGGTCTTCCAGACGATTGCTCTCTTGCTGCAGACTTCAGACTTCTCTGCTTACGTCACGTCAGACACATAGCTACGAGAAAAAGTTCTACAGGTGTCGCGCTGGGCAGACGGTTCGGGGAAGTGTAAATTCTTTCAGTGGGCAAACAGTCTAGTAGATTTCATTGTCGACAGTGATCAAGACTAGATAGCATCTCTGGAGGATGGCGTAACTCGTGACGTGCGTCGTCTACATTATAAAATCAATACTGTCATATTACTAATTGTACTTTTAATAGTTTTTTTTCTTTTTTGTAGCATATTTGATAATCACTGTTACGTGAGGGGTTTATCTGGATTTTTGTACCGTTCTGAAGTGAATTTTTTCTTTTGAAGTATCAAATATAAGGCTACAACAGTTCTGTTACAAACAACCTTACTACACGGGGGCAGAATGATCATTTGTCCAGGCACAGCTTCCACACAGCTGTTTTCAAACCGCAGAAAACAAACAACCAGTCAGCTTCCTCGCAGCAGCTTCCTGGGGCAGCTAAGCTGCATCTGCCCTAAACATACCCTAAGAACCTATGTGAACTATGGATTGGGCCAACTAACAATAGCTTTGATCCTAGTAAGGCACATCTTGATGACGATTGTTGAAATAATATATTCTATGAAACATGTTTACAGCATCATAAAATGATACTTCTTCAGGTGGTCATACAACCTTTTCAAAAAACTCCAAACTCTTGCAAGTGCTTCAAATGCTTATCCACTGAATTACTATGTCAAATTACACAACCAAAAACTTTTTAATAGTCTCCAAAAACTTTGTTCATCAGCTTTATAGAGTGCTCATTATATTGGGCAAGTCAAAATGCATGACTATTCACTCATATAATCGATCTTACATCATGAAGGAGGTCTTTTACTCATCCACTAGCCTCGTTCTAATTTGGTGGTATCCATTGTACAAATCTATCTTGAAAAAGATATTACCTCCATACAATTAATCTAATACATCATCCAATCTCGATACTTAATCGTCGTGTTATTCACTGCCTTGTTGTTAGTGCACATATGTCACGATCCGTCTTTTTTGGCCATAATTAAAGCTAGAATAACATAACGCATGGATCGGTACTCACATTAACTTACCCTCGGGTCATCAAAAAATATTTTCAATGCAAAATTGAAAACTTTATTTTAATTAATACGAAAGTTGCATAGAATCAAAACCTCCAGAAAAAATTTGATGAACAAGGTAACTCAAAAAAGCCACCAAAATATTTATAGTGTTACAAATATTTATCAACCTTGATATTGTGCATATTTGTCATGGGGCATGCTTATTTTGAAGATGTTGCACAAAAAGAAGGAGAGAATAAAATCTTTGAAAATGGGACAAAAGACAATAAAAAAAAAATTAAAAAGATCTGATAATACACAGCTAAAAAAAGAGGCCGTTGAACTGAAGTTCTAGAAGAAAAATTTTATGTTGGTAGTTCATTACGAAAACTCGAGGCCCGCTACAAACACAAATTTTCAGCAGGTTGAATTTAACTCAAGGAAGAAAAAAATGACAACTGAGTTCTATTACAACAAGAATACAAAAAGTAAGAACAGAAAATGCATCCCTCCATGCCCATGATCGAGACAATAGGATTTCAACCGAAATAATGAAGGAAAAGCTGGTTGATATAAATTCAACTGAATCAAAAACTGAGTAACTAGACGTATTCTATAACATTTGAGTGCTTAATACATAGAAGCAGAATGAAGGATTATTAAGGATATTGCTTGCTACCAGAATTACATTCCATGCATAAATACTAGAGTTAATGTATTTGAACTACAATTACAGCAAAATGAAGTATACTATGGCTTACCTATAAGCCACATGTTATATCTTATTAAGACAACTGTCAAAACTTACTTCTCTTTGACCTAAGAAAAAAATCTTTTTCATTTAAAAATCCAAATTGCTCCTACTAGCATACTCAGTACATGACAACAACGTTTTTGTCCGTCATGGACTTCTCAACATCACAACTAATTTTACTTCAACAAACACGAAGCATCCCCTCCACGGTGGTGCATTTGAGACTCTTTTGTGAGTGCCAACAACCTGCCTCTTTGATACTAAGTAGCTTTGAATAAATACATTAAGTAGCCAGAATCTTAATTTTCTTCTTATTAATGGCTGATAAGCGTTACAATGTGGTTAAACTCTTTGCCATTGTTGACTCAACAGAAAATATGACCATTCCTGGTCTTCAGCAGGTTCCAGATTCGGCAATAGGATTTCTTCACTGCAATTACCAAAGAGATTGCTTTTATGTTTTTATCAGACTTCAAATGTATTAGCATGTTATTTTCTCTATGGCAATGGTTATTTTCATATGCTTTTGTCATCATTTATAGATGAATGTCATTTTAGCTTCATATCTTTCAATTATTCTTTTTGTACATAACCATCCAGCATTCCTTCATGTATGCATTTCGATGTTGTTAAAAGCAAGCAGGGCACGCACATTAACATTTTGACAAACCGAGACAAGGACATGAAACTTTAAACACGTTCCCAAGTGGGCAACCTTAATAAGTCATGCCTACGCAAGCCTCTTTCCATGAGTTGTAAGATGAGGGCCAATACTCCAAAAGTTGAAAATGAGTCAGTCTTTTATGATAATAATAACATGGCACGAAACGTTGTGAAACAAGCAATAAAGATTAAAGAAACAAGCATTTCCCCTTGTAAATGAATTGATAAAACGCATATGCAATAACTTTAATTATAGAATAGAAAATCCTAATGACGAACATGAAAATTACAAAAAAAATAGTAGAATAGATGCAATGTAGAGTGCAAATAACAGGAGAAAGGTGCTTGATAAAATTTAAATATTCCTGACCTACATTCTTAAAATAATCTATCAAACAAGACCCTTTGAACTAGAATGAAACAGAACTTAAAAATCTATTATTTATCCCGCCAACCAAAAAATAAACTAATGGGATGATTGCATTTAATATTCTTCAAAAGTGTCTCTTAATATTAAATAAACATATGAATAATACTACATTCATTTTCTATACCTTGCTTTACTCAGGTAAAAATCTATCGTGGCAACCATCATATATGAGGTTGGAAAGCAATCTCACCCTGAGAGTGTCTACCGCTTATTTAAACATTAGCTACTATTAAATGGCACTATAGCTACTAAATCATACCGTTTCAATTATTTATATTTTTTCTTTTATTTTTTAATAATAATGAAGTCATGCTTTAGAAATCAATTGCTTAACCATTTCAAATTTTCTATATTTCCATCAATTATAATTTAAAACTACTGTCTTCACCTAGAAACCATTCCATAATTTTATTGAAAGTACTAATACAAAAGAAAAAATTAAAACATTTGAAATAATTAAAAATAATTTCATAGCTAAATTTTAATGCATATAACAGTTGAAAACAGTATAAAACTAAGTACACGTGCAACTAAAAAAATTACCAAGATGGAACCATAAAAAAGAAGCAAATTAATAAAACTAATAGACTTAGGGATTGTTCGATTTCTGTATTTGTGGTGTAATGAAAACAAAATCCAAGGGATTTGAAAATTATTATGTTTGGTTGGATGAAAATAAGACTTGGGCATGTTGCATAAAAGACTATCTTAATTTATTAGAAATAAATGAAAATATGACACTCAGTAAATGAAAATATGACACTTAATTTATTAGAAATAAAGTTTCATGTAGTCGACCCCACTTAGTGGGATAAAAGCTTGTAACCTTTGTTTTTGTTGTTGTTGGTTGGATGATAATAAAATGAAGCATAAAATTTTGATGAACATAAAATTCACCCTGTAGTTCAAAACTGGTGTATTTCAAATTCATTAGATTTAGATGATTTCTAAATATACTGCAAATTGTAGCTTATTTTCATTGCCACCATCGCTCGCCGCTAGTCGCTCAACCGCCGGCGTTACCACCGTCAGTAGCAACATGTAGTCGGCCTCACGTCATCACTACAGTCAGTTACCAACCGCTACCCACCGCAGGTGCCACCATCGCTATCGCCGAGCATGTTTTACATGGATTTCATATTTCTTCAAACCAAACATAAAAATAGAAATTCCCACATTTACTTTACACCAAATCAAGAACTTCAAAATACTTCAAATATACTACAATTCAATTAAATTGTATTCATTTTACATTACAATCTTTTTTTCAGCAAACCAAACAGTCCTTTAATGTTTTCAATTATTAGCAAAAAAAATTAAATTCTCATAGGTTAGAGTTTAAAAGAAAAAAAAATGGAGATCTAAGATATCCGAACAATAAGATATACAAACAAGTCCAAAAACAAGTTTTTATGATGTATTTAAATAACCGTTTTATGACAAAATTTTAAATTAATGCTTGAAATGTTCTCTTAGCTGTTCTCTAATATGCCATTTGGCATAGTAAACAAATACATAAAGTTTAAACTAATCTTCAAGAAGGTCAGAATTCATGTCACAAAGTTTAGGCTCATTTACCAAAAGATCAAAGTGCAATTTCCATTATAAATTTACAGAATACTGTCTTGTCATTCAACAATTTATTAATTATACCATATCTCAGCATATCCACATTGCAGCTCCAACAAGTTGCACACTTTAGACCAAACAAAAAAAAAAAGAATTATTATCATCAGGGACCATACCTCTGGCAAAACAGTGAGCAACTCTAACAAGCCTGGGATATATTCAGAATGAGTTCTCATTTCATTGCTAATCCAGTTCACAATGCCACCATCTCCCCAGCTTTCCACAGAGACATGCACAGCCAAAGCAGCAATGCCAATACTGATCTAAAATGAAAAGGTAGCTTATATGTGCAAGCTTAACTTAATAAAATATAACCAATAACTTCCACAAATAATTTAGTCATACCTGTGTCCTAACTTTAGGGGGGCCTTTGCTAAAGTTCTTAAGCAAAGCCTGCACTTGGAAGCTTCAAACCAATTAAAAAGTATAAATAGAAACACACAAATACATTATGCTAGCAAATAAAATGCAATACAGCTTTTGAGCAGTATAAATTAAAAGCTATAAAGAAACAGTTAAACAGAGGGTTCACACTTGTAAAGTATGATATAATAAAGATCAACGAAATCCTACATTATTGTAAAGGAAAATAGCTAACTGAAAAAGAGAGATGATTCATCAGCAAGCCATCAATTATCGGAATTTAGAAGTTAGCAAATTTAGATGCCAACATATCTAATAAACAATTTAGTATTTTTTTGCTGTTTCCAAAAATCTGTATGTTCATTTGCTAAAAAAAAGAATAGTAAAGAAAAAAATAAGATAAATGCTACAAATTCTCAAGTAAATTTGACCAACTAACTGATGCCATCATAGTAAGACAGGGTGGTATTAAACAGATAATGACGGATATTGATGTGTACAAGTATTATATGAATTTTGTTATACAAATTCTGAATGAAAAATATGTATGATTAAAATATAATTTAAATTCTTAATTTTTTCTTAATTAACTTCAATCTTGACAAGTCAAAAAGAGGTAAATAGAAGACTTTTTCATAAGCATGAAAGTCTTTCTTATAAATAAAATGTATTATGCTTTTAAATGTTGCAATTTGAGTAGTTTTCCAACACTCTTACAAGATGAAGAAAATGGAAGTTTTTTATAATACGTAGTCATTGATGATATACGGGTGAATAGGTGAATTGAAAACAGGCACCATCAACTAATGTCCAATACCCTCACCAATAATACAAGTACTGCCTTCTAGGGATTTCTTAGAAAAGGCAATAACAATAATAGATTCAGTTGACGAGTTTGAGTGGGATGAGTACTTCTATGTGTTTGCTATTGATCTTATCCAAAATAAAGATAATAGAAACATACTTAAAAGATTTAAGGTTCAATTTGGCTTTTTTGTTTGTTTGGTATGTTTTGGGATATTTGATGATGGAATAATTTCTAATAGCAATATGATAATTGGGCTGAGAAATTAGCTCGATGATTGTCAATCCCTTGAAAATAAAAATCGGATTTTAGCTCAGATAGAAATCAGCTCAAAACAAACGAGCTAAACAATGAGCAAATTTTAAAAATCAATATATCAAACCAGAGGAAAATCGGATCATTTGGCCCGCAATCAGAACAAAATTATTTATTTATTTATATGCAATTCGGCGGATGGTGGAATCCCCCGTGAATCGGTAAAAGATATATTTCATAACTATAATGATCTAATCCCTCAATCATAGCCCTACAAGTCCCAATATCGTGTGTCTCAACTCTCATCTCATTATGGTGCCCTAGTTTCAAAATCCCTAGGTCAAGAATCTCACCTACGGCCTTACACCTTCAGAGTCCGGCCTCACACGTCTTCATGTCATTGCTTCTTAGCTTGTTGCGAGTTCTTCCTGTGAAGAGGAGAAGCCTTGCTTAGACGCTCTCTACTTCTCTTTCACTTACTCTGGTGCTCAGTGCTCCCTACATTCACTCTATCGACTTGTGAGTTGGTAACCTAATTAATAACTGGTAAGTTGGTTTCTTCCATATTAACCATAGTCCCCAAAAGTCCTAAGGCATGTTGTTGCTCTCTCTCGCCAAGAGCAACGCTCCCTGACACTTTCCTCCACTGGTCATTCCCCACACCTGGGCTTTGAGCTGGCGC